AAGCGTGGAAACCACTATCGGGCAACGGCGTCTGCTGTTCGCGGGTTCGCTGGCAAGGCAGCCAGACGGACGCCTCCCGAAACGGGTGATGCTTGGCGAACTCATGGGGGGGGAGGGCCCAGGCAGGGGGAAACCGGAGCAAAACTGACCTCAAGATGTTCGAAGCAGAGCACGGATGTACCTACGGACGCCGAGCCATGCTTCTTCGGAGTCCCGGAAACAACTTGGATGGAGTCAGCGAAGGTGGACCGGGAGGTACCGTGGCGTACAGGGGTGCTGCAGGGAGCTAAGAAATTCATGGCCTCCTGGCACGAGAAGGAAGAGGAGTCTAGAATTGCAGCCACGACGTCATGGTCTGCCCGTTCGGGTAACTACAGCCTACCTATATGCGAATCTGGGCATCTTCCGACGCTATCACTTGGTGTAAGCCTTGAAATGGGTCGGACGCGTGGCTACAACGATGGAGGCGCACATGGGGTGGCGAGCACGGCAACTCCACAGAGAGTATCTTCTGAACGCGGGATTAAATAAATCATGCGAGTAGAGTCACACATACATCTGGACAGAAAACCGATCAAGACTTGTCGCGGTGCGAAGCTGATATTTGCAATTGAGGAATTTGATTCTTCTAGGCTGCTTTTATCAAACCGCCGTGGTGCCCGTCCACAAAAATACGTACAGCATTCCCGATGTATAGATATGCTCGTACCCGACCCCGAAAGCCGATGACAATTAAGCACGTCTATTACTACGTACCGAGGCCAACTTGTCGACGCTGCCATCTGCGCTCATTGTTCGTCGGGTGCAGATGGACTGGGTGTGGCTACGGGGTAATTCAATCGAGAGATAGGACGGATGGTGTTACGGGATTTGAATGTGTAGGAAAGTACAAACGTTAGTGCGGGCTAATGCCCAGAGAAAAGTGCGGGAGATGCAACTCCCCACGGAAGGACAAAACAGGGGACAGGATCTAGTAGCCCCTGCTTTAGCAGCTGATCCTGGCCCCATCCTAGTCAGCCCTCTACCTTCCCTTGGCAACAGCTACTGCTGTTCCACACGGGTTAATAACAAGTGAGTTCGCCTTCACGGGTCTCCCAGATTCCACCGCGCGTGCATATCCCTTACAATGGGGCATGTACATTTTCGCACTTTTCCATGGAAGTCATGGATTTCCGTGGAAATCTATGGACTTCCATGGACTGGACCTCCATGAACTAAAATTCCATGGACCTTCATGGACTCCCATGGCCTTCCACGGAACTAAGTGGAATTCATGAACGTCCATGGACTTGCATGAAACATTCCATGAAATGTTCATGAGATTAACGTCATGAAACATTTCATGAAACATTTCATGAAAGTATTCCATTTTTGGGTGTGATGGAACGTTTCATGAAACCATTTCATGGAAGTTCATGCCAGGAGTTCATGACCGCCCATGAACGTTCAGTTCATGGAATGTATCATGGATCTCCGCGGTGTTATAAGGTCCAATCTCAATCAAGTAGACAATAAACCTTTTACCGGGTGGCTGATGAGTGGTCTGCCTCCTTAACGAATGGCGTCGTGCAGGACATGTTGGGAGTTTCGAATCCCGACTTGTCTGTGCACTTTCTTTATTTTCTGATTCGAAAAGAAAAGAAGAGAAAAGAACTTGTGCGTGAAAGGAGAAACACACTCGCATGTAAAAATCCTAGCGGAAAAAGCATCCTCCCTACCGTCTGAAGAAAGTCGGCGACCCTACGTTGGTGGTCCTGGGGATTACTTCCCGCTAGGTTTCAGTGCCAGAGAGTGTTTTGAGGTCCTGTCTCAGCCAGGTAAACGGTTAACCTTTTACCGGGTGGCTGAGTGGTCTACCTCCTTAACAGCGGTGGACATCCATGGAATGTTTCACGGACTTCCATGAGCGCCCATGAAATATTTTGTGGATGTCCACTGAACGTTTCATGGAAGTCCATGCCATATTTCATGAATGTTCATGGATTTTCATGGACGTTCATGGAACATGTCACGGACTTTCGTGAAATGCTTCTTGAAATTTCATGGACGTTCATAGCCTTCCATGAAACACTTCATAGAAGTCCATGAACGATCCACCGCTCACTGTCATCCTGATTGTTTGTGGCAATTTTCCCCAGGAGGGAAAACGGCATCATAGCTCGCAGGTAGCCACTTCATGGTTACTTCTCGCTTTTTGTTTTTTTTATTCGCGCTGACCTGAACCCGCGCTCAACCCCAATGGTTTTATTGCCCTACTCTAATATCATTTCGACGTAGACCCCCGTTAATCACAGGGTCTTCGAAGAGAGACAGACACGGAAGCATTTTTTTCGGTTGGACACGTTCGTTCCACCCAACCAACCAAATGGTTTTGTGACCGAAGAGTTTCCCAAGGATCGTCCATGAGGGAGTGAGTACCCTTCAACCGGAACCAATGTATACTCCTGAACAGCAGCAGATAATCTGCTGTGGGACGGGCTTTGCAACAACGGCTACACACCCCAACGCTAACAACCCTAACCCTAAGCCCAAGCCCACACGATGCGTGCTAGGTTCGCGCTGGGTGGCTATGAGTTCTAGGTTGATGTACCGGTGACTACGTTCTAGGTTGAAGTGCTCACGGTGGGCACTTCGTGGGCGTTTCATGGGCAGAGTTTGAATATTGTATGGCACTATTATTATTGCGGTTTTGAGTTTGATAAAAAACATGCCAGGAATTCCATGGACTTCCATGAAACGTTTCATGAGCTGCCATGACCGCCCATGAAACAGTTCACGAACGCCTATGAAGCGTTTCATGGAAGTCCACGAAATTACATGGACTGAAACATTCCGTGAACTTCCATGGTACCATGGTATTCCATGGAATTCCATGGCCTGCACATAGAAGTGTATCGAGCTCCACTGAACTCCATGGAAGTCCATGGTTTAACATGAAGGTGTTTCGTGAACATTCACGAACATTCATGACTGTTCAAGGATGCCCACGGGTTTCGTTGGTCGAAAACCATTTCGACTTCATCGGAAAATGACGTAGACGTCCGTCCGTGGAATGATTCGTGGACTGCCGCCGTAAAGTTTCATGGAATTCCATGGACGGCTTCCATTGACTTTCATGACACTTTCCGCCGCCTCCATGGCATTCCATGAAAATGCCTCGTGGAAGCCCATGGAAGCCCATGTAAGCCCATGCGCCGACTTAGTCGGACTGGTTCAGGCGAAAAAATTTTGGTTCGTGTTAATGCATCTTACAGGTACGTCTAAACGCGTCTGTCTCTGGTTCGTCCAAGCACGTCTTGTATGCGTCCTGGCACGTCTTGTGTATGTCTAGTCTAAGCGCGTCCAAATTGCGTCTTAGCGCTTCTAAAGTATGTTTTGTGCGTCTAAAATGCATCTTAGCCCGTCTAAGATACGTCTTGACGCGTCTAACATTAATAATGTGCCTTGTCACGTCTAAAATGTGCCATAGGGTGTTTGTTTCGTCTGTCTACATACAACAACATATTCGCCTGATTGAGAGCGAAGTATCTGATTGAGAGCGAGAGCCAAAAAAATTGAAATTTCGGGTCCAGACGCCTCTTGCCATTTCTTGGCAAGTAGGGGACGGGCTATTCCAAGAAGCGGTGCAAATTGAAGGTCTCATCAGCAGCTTCGCGAGCATATGCGTGTCATCGTCATCGGATGCTGCAGCGAGGAGCTAGACAAGTTGCTAGATTTGCCCAGATTGGCTATTTCTGCTCAAACTGTTTCAGGGCGGTATCGCGTCGGGCGGTGGGCTCTGCTGTAGCTTCTGCTCCCCGCTGTAGCTCCACAACGAGAGACTCCCACAGGATGACCAGGGTAGCGGCTTGAAGCTACGGGCTAGCCCTTCAATTCAAGCTACACAGCAAGCTCCACCTCTCAGTGGTAGTCCGGCTACAGCGTATCGCGCAATCTCGCTCTCAATCAGATGCTACGCTCTCAATCAGGCGAATATGTTGTTATACATACATACATACATACATATCTCAGTTCGACAGAACATCGTCTGACAGCAGTGGTATTATTGTGCTTGATTCTTGATGCCGACCAAAATGCATTTGCGCGCCCCCCATTATGCGCGTTGAGCGCTACGCACACACACAATAAAACACATTCCTCCAAAGTTTTTCATTTTTATTGTTTGAGAGGACAATCGAAGTAGCAAATTGAATCGAAGAATAACGCTGTTGTTGGTAGTTATTGCGTAGTGCGCTATCTTGCCAGTTAACGGTCAAAACAGAACATTCGACAAACATACTGACTGACAGCAGGAAGACTATCTAACTCTCTATATGAACAGCAATACTCCGTTGTTGATGGTTCACACAGAAGAACCGGCGTCAACAACAGCAAATAAATTCATAAATCAGCACGCTGATGTTAAAAGAAAGACAGCGCCGCGTTCCCTGTGAAGGCTACATACGCCTAGCTAGTTATTGTATGGAATGAATGTTTTGACACGCGACGTAATGTAGTCTAACGGAGCGCTAAATAAACTAGAGATAGACTTCTCCCCAACATTTTCGTTGTTGACCTAGTAAAGCAACATGGAATGAACGTAGATTGGTTTTTCAAAGAACCATTGCAAGATACGCGGTAATCAGAGAGTAGTACGTACCCGCGGGAGTGCCAGCAATCTAAGGCGCACGCACGCCAGTTGCAACGTAGCAAGCAGACAAACACACAAACACCAATCTTCGTGGTTTAGTCAGACTTTTAACGAGCCACGAGATAACACCACACCCATACGTAGTGTGGTCCCGATCAACGACACAACAAGGAGGGGTGGAGGGCGTTCCTCCTGCGGATACATCATCATCATGCATGCATGTGTCGTTGTATTTGTAGGCGTTGCCGCCAGGCAGGGCTGGTCTGGTGCGGTCGAAATGCATAGATGTGGCGTGTGGCGTGTGGCGTGTGTTCGAGGTAGCGGCATGTATGTATGTGTTGTGTGTTTGTGTGTTTTCGTCCTATTTATTATGGCGACAGTCCCCCCATTTTTGGTGGTGAGACGTGTACTACATACATATACCCTTTCAGCGTATGTATGTAGAGTACTACACTTTTCAGTGTATTTTTTCGTACAAGTACAACCATCCAGGGTCACACAGGAGGGAGTAAACACCAGGGCTTTTTTTCTTCTTTTTTTTTCCTTTTCATGCCCCACGTTCCTCCTGCTGCGGTGCGTGCCGAACTTTATTTTTTTCGCGAGAAAGATCCATCCAGCCGTCCCTTTCCCTAGTCAACGGTGACAATGTCGAAGTGTGATACTCACGAGAGCTTTCTTTTTAGCTATATTTCGCTTTCACCCGCATTTTTCGTAAATTTTTCACCCCATGGGGATTCGAACTCACGACCTCTGCGACTAGCGGACTATGAGGATACCTAATAGATAGACCACCGGGGCGACCGGGGTACGTACGTGTATCGACAGAAGAAGCGTAGACAGTCGGATTGGATAGTTTGAATGTCGGGACTGTCAAGATGAGGGTCGCTGTGTAGCCACACATTATGAGAATATAGTATTATAGTGGAATATTCTTGGTCCTTTCTCTCTGGCTGTAGGAATGTTCTTCGTGGATAGTGCATAATAAGCCCGAGGATGTATGTGTGATACGTAGGAAAGTGCATTGGTCCGTAGGAAAATGCATTGGTCCGTTCCATGCATCGGTCCGTGTTCGGTGTATATGCGTGATCGGGTGGATGCCCAAGCGTGATGCTGCTGGGATGCTGTGCACCCACCCAGCTCACTCCACCTTTTGAACTGTTCTCCTGGTCCAAGGTCTCATCAATACAACATCTTTTCCCCAGAAGCCACGAGTTTACCAGCAGCGTGTATGAGGGTGTTAGGCTATGCATCGTACATAGATGACAGTAGAATGTTTACACCTTTTATTGAAGGCCATGGCCCATGGGCCATAGGTGGATAATAGGTGTGAGGCGTGAGACCCCCGGAGCGCGGGACAATATCCTCCATTCCATTTTTGTCGGAGATACCTTCACTGGTCGCCCCGGTGGTCTAGTGGTGGTATCCTTGTAATCCGCTAGTCGCAGAGGTCGTGAGTTCGAATCCCCGTGGGGTGAAAATTTCATGAAATTTGCGGGTGAAAGCGAAATATAGCTAAAATACGCTCTCGTGAGTACCAAACTTCGACATTAGCACCGTTGACGAGGGAAAGGGACGGCTGGACCCTTCTCGCCATAAAAAGAAAATTCAGCACGCACCGCAGGAGGAAGGTGGGGCATGAAAAGAAATAAAAAGAAGAAAAAAGACCTGGTGTTTACCCCCTCCCGTGTGACCCTGGATGGTTGTATTTGTACGAAAAAATAAAAAATACATACTACACTGAAAAGTAAGTGTAGTACTCTACATACTACATACGCTGAAAAGTGTAGCACACGTCTCACCACGACAAATGGGGAGATTGCTGTCGCCATAATAAATAGGACGAAAACACACACACACACACACCCGCACATGGTCCTTCATTGATCAGCAACATTTTTCCACCAGTGAAGGCTTGAAACCCAGTCTTGACAAGCGGNGTATAAAAACGCACAAGATCGACTCCGTCGCCGAAGCTGATGAACCATTCGAAACGCGGTCGATGCTAATAATAAAAGCACACACACACACACACACACACACTGGGCCTGATGGTCTTCGTTTTTCGTATCTCCAAGCTGGTGGGATGATGAGTGATTTTTTTACTGAAACCTTAGCGGACTTCAGCTTCAAAGTCTTCTACTACGGAGACGAGCTTCCGGATTTCTTTTGGAACCTCCACACCAGTGCCAACCTTTCAGCGCTGGGAGAGAAAAAACGGCCGATTGCAGTTGG